GACGGCCAGAAATCTCGAAAAAACCTGTTCCGGCCAGTTCAGGTTTCTTTTCCCGCTAGGTGCCGTCCGTTTGCGGGAGTCTCGAATAGGGCCGTTCACGTTGCATCATGTTACGGAAGCTTACGTCTGCTTACGCCACAAGTCACGGAGGCATCTGTGCTTCACATTAAAAGGGCCCTCCAACAACTTTTCTATTTTTTTTTTCTTAATTTGCACTACACCTGAGCGCACTGAACGTAGTAACTTATGGTGAATTCGAGTGGTCGCGTCTCTCCTCTGACCTCGATTCAGCAGAGCGCCCCCTCCTCGCCGCCAGAGCTACTCGGGATCCTTTTCAGCCGATCACAACTGCTGGCTTCAGAGCGCTCCGAAATTCTCAGACCAGTCACGGAATTAAAATTTCTGGACATTGGTCATGCATTAAAAACAACACGACCTTACAGCGTACGGTGGACGATTGAGCAAAATTTACGCTTGCACAGTGATGAAATAACGGTTTTGACGTAAATTGTTTTACTCATCGGCATGTAAAAAAAAAAAGAAAACAGTATGCGAATTGATTTTTTCAAAACGGAACGAAAGCCAGCGCTTGGAAACAGTAGTCAACTCATCGCGTTTTCGACTGTGAACGCGCTGCGATAGCGGGCGAATATAAAATGGTTAATAAGCCTCATTTTTCTCACGGCGAAATATCGTGGAAGCATCGCAATGTGACACATATCACAGTGCATTAAATTCGGCTCTTCCTTTATTTTACAACACAAACTTTTGAACGCACTTTTACCAAACCTCAAAAATTTCTTGAAGCGACTGCAAAATCCGGTAAAACAGCGGCGAGCTCTGCGAGCTGTTTCGTCGTCGGTTAGGCTTAGCGGATTCACCGCCGTGAGATGAACATCTTGTGAAAGCACTGGGAATACTTCACACGTCGGCTTTTCCTGTTACGGTCGTAAACGAATGTCGTCCCGTCCGTTGTAATCCTCGCACCATCGAATGCACAGGCACTTTGTAGAACCAGACATCAATCACCGTCATGCCGGACCCCGCACACCACCACAGACATGGAGAATAGAAGGGTAGGAGAGGACATGACGTCAGCCGCGTAGCCTCCACAAGCCATGCTCCCTTGACGCCTCGCCTCTTTCTCATTTTCCTCCTTACTCTCACCACATCACGTGACCGTAGTTAGCCTTCGTGTAGCCTTCGATCTGATAAAACCTACCGGACGGAGCGCGCGCAAGCCTGCAAGGAATCCTCCTACAATCAACCATCCATCTCGCACGTGACATGTCACGCGCACCAATCGCCAGACAGATCTGCGGTCACGCTGGGCACAAAATCGTTTAAATTTTTTATGACTAGGCTTCACCAATATTGTAACGTGCCCCCTCCTAGTACTTCTAACCTCCTTGACCACAGACCACTGCCGGCCATCGTCAACAAAGCCACATGATCACCGTCCAGCTACCACGTGACGCCTGCGCCGCTCCGCACTTCGACGGCTACAGACGGAGTGCCAGAGAGCGCTCTGAGAGGGAGAGGCGCCCTCGGAATGAACGACCCGATCAGGCCACAGCACTCTCTTTCAACCAACCGATTTCGAGTGCTCTAGAAAGAGCGCTCAGAGCGCGCAGAAAGAACCACGCGAATTGGCCATTAGTGAACTTTTTTCTTTTCTCAAAATTCGCTTTATTTTGAAAGTTATAGGAATATTAAAATTACAGAAACGAGCAAAACATAACCTCCTTCATGACGTCATTGGTTCTCTGTCCCCCCCCCCCCCCCCCTCCCACACACACACACACACACACGCGCTTTTTCCCATGCCGGAGGATTCCTCTTGCTGCGGTGATTGAGGAATGTGGGGAGGGAGGGGAAGACGGGGAAAGGAGGCGAGACCGAGGAGAGAAGCTGCCCGGAAACGGGGCAATTCTCTCTCCTCGGCTGACGTTAGGTCCAAAAACGTCACGATTTCGTCACATGCCGCGCGCAGTCGACACCACGGGGCGCCCCCGTAAGAGGAGGAGCTTTCCGGGTTGTTCGGTTAAGATACGACGCACTGATATTTAGTTACTCTCTCCGTGCCCGTTGAGTTGTCCGAACCACAAGAGACGTGGAAACCGCAAAAAAGAAAGACGCTAGCCTGACAGGTGACATTCGAGACTCAAATGTTCCGGTGACTTGTAAGGTAAGAAAATTGGGCTGTGTGAACCAGCCCTTTACCCTAGGATCGAGACCACCATTCGCTCACATGAAGTAGCCAATGAAGTGCGACATATGCCCATCATAACATAGGCCTTGCAGAAGGCACATTATTGACCGTACAACCCATGGGGCCACGGCCGTCACAGACACCTTGAAAGAGGAGGCGGGTTGAATTAGAGAGATCTTGGGATGCGCTAAACGACGGAAGTAAGAGACGCGCAGCATTAAAGGGCCACTGAAAAGAAAACATTTTTGTTTAACACTTTGGTATTTTACACTACATTTTTTCTAAAGCAATATTGACGGTGAAAAATTCATATGAAATTCTGTGCACAAAGTCGACGACGTCACGAAATGGTCATTCGCCCTTTTAACCTCAACAATATGGTCATTCGCTCTATCCACCTCAACGTGAAGGCGAAACCGATCCACCTCTCCTCCACCCGCCCGAAATGCCGAGAGAGAAAACTAGTGGAAAGGAGGTGACTACCAACTAAATCCTCGCACCGAAAGTATTGTTCTAAAATTTTTTTTAGCTTAAATTTTTTTTGACGCACGCGTCCCTTCCAGACTGCTTAAATTTTTTTATTTTCTTTATTTTCAGGGTTTTTTTTAATGCCGAACGAAAGTTGCAGATGATTTTAAGAGGTAAAACGAAACAGGACAAATAGTCGTACGAGTTCGGAAAAAGAGAAAATTGCTTGACTTTTATTTTTATACAATAACTGCATCGATAAAAAGTTTTAACAAAAAAAAAAAAAACAGTTTTTGTTGTAGTATGACAGGGTTTACATCAATAAAAAATTCAGGAGGACACTTAAGACTATTAACGTGCAGCTTCCGCGCTGAGCCCGTCCAGGCGGCCTCTGCGGAGGCTGCCCGGGCGGGCTTTGCAGAGCAGCCGGCCGGCCGCTCTGCAAAGCTTAGCCAACCTCTCCCTCTTACCGGCGTGCAGACCGTAGCGCCAGGAAGAGGGCCTTTCAGTGGAGTGGCGTTCCTTCGAACTATGCGCCGGGCGGCGTGGCAGCCATTTTAACTGCAGTATGGGAGGCAATTTAGCACGCGCGCCGGTAGCGCGTTCCTTGGAACACGCGTCGCAGCCATTTTAACTGCCGTTTGGGAGATAATTTAGCGCGCGGTGTTTAGGAGCAGTGTTTTCGCGGTCACAAGCAGTCAACGCCGGCTGCGCTCCATGGGACAGTTACTGTGTTCGCATTAAAAGTTGCTAATTAAACTGTACTCTATGTTTGCAGCAGCTCTTTCTTCCGCACTCTTTTCAGTGATCGGGCGGATGGATCAATCGATGTGCCATGTATAAAGATATATAGTGATAAAGAAATCTCTATTTTGTAGCTACAGTGATTGAAGTCAAATTAATCTGACTGTAATCCAATCAATTAGATTTACCTGACTTGTTAAAAACAATTTTTCTCTTGTGAAATAGTAACAATTATAATATTTGCGAGTGTACTTTTCTGCGATTTGAAATCTTGCGTAAACTAGTCCATATTACGCCCCGTGTTCTGTTACTTCTCCCCAACGCACCTGCGTGCGATCGGAAAAGCACTCGGACACTCGTATGGCAACGCAACGTGCTGACCATGTTCAAAAGTTTGCGCCATCTAACCTTTTTGGGCACGTATTTTGAGCATCTGAGTAAAGAATACAGGGTGTGCCAGAAAAAGCTCGAGGTACACCTAACTTCTAAGCACTTCTTATGAGTTGTGAATGCGAAAGCATGTACATCATTTTTGCTCTACGCGTGTTGGCGCGCTGACCTGGCACTGACGGACACGCTGCGCCATGAGGTGGCGCGCTGCGTGTCCGGCGAACGGGAGCCAATGAGAGCGAAGCGGTGTAAAAGGTGCCGTAGGTAACAGGCGAATGGAAGCTGGCTTGACTTAGAGAAGGATTTAAGAGCCGTTTGGCGTGGTTTCAAAGCTGATGACGTCAGCTCGCTCCACGAGACAGTTAATGCTTTCGCATTAAATGGTTTACAAGGTTTAACTGCAAAAATAAAAATATTCGTCGCCGAACTCTCATTTTCCGCCCAAAGGTAGCGCTAGAGGTCCGGACCAAATGCCAAAGTTTCAGCACGAACCGATATATTTTACTCAAATGTTATAAGCGCTTTTCTGAAAATTTACGTGGGAAAATAGTTCGGCATGGCAGAGGTCCCGCAAAGAACGCCCATCTTGATGGTGTGGAATGCACGTTGTGGAAGCACTAGTTGTGGGAGCTTTAACAACCTAAGGAACTTGTTAGCGTTCCGCACCAAGTCACATTCAAGACTAAGTAACTCCACGAGCGAGCCATACTGCCACCAACTGGTGTTGCTTCCTAGAGGCCGATGACGTGGCGGCATTCCAACGGAGCTTTCGCAGACGGCCATCAGGCGCAATCTTGAAATCAGTTATATTCGTTTTAAAATTAGTTTTCTTAACTTTCCTACCCGTAGCCCAAAAACATTAGTCTCTATAGACTGGTGTTTCTGGGCTGCCGCCACAACATAGACCGCATCTAAGCAAAAATATTAGAGCAAACAGGTTCGTTTCAGTACCCCTGTAAACCACGTGTTATCAAGTTTTGCGAAAGAGAGACTGAAAGATTACGCTCGCTTTTAATATTGAAATTACACCGCAACAGGAAGGTTTCTTAGTCAATGGCGTTGAGTGCCATTGACAATTAGGTCCCGCTAATGCCAATCAACCCTTGTAATGTAAAAAAGAAAAGAAAAGTGAATTTTGTTGCATTTCCCCTTTGAAAAAAACTGGACAGTTCGTCCCGTGGCGTACCGTTGTGCCAGGCGACGTCGGAGGGGGCGTGATGCATGGCCGAGCGCAGCGTGGCCGCGATCCTGGAGTAGGTGGCCGTCATGCCGAGCAGGGGAAGCACCAGGAGCAGAGCGTCCAAGAAGAGCGTGAAGAGTCGCTCGTACAGCGGCTCGCGCCAGTCCTCGCGGCACTTCATCTTCCCTGCAGGGAGGAAGGAGAGTGCTCGTCATTGACAGAATAGTTGAGCGACGTTTGGCAACTTCCGGTTCCTTAGGAAATTTAGTTTAACTGTTTACAAACGATGACAATGAGCTGCAAGCATGTGCAAGCATAATTCTGAAACCTCCAGAGTGTAGTTTTCTGAACCATGCTTAGACAGGCTTGCAGATCATCGTCGTCGTCTGTCAACAGCTAAACAAAATTTCCTAAGGAACCTTTTTGAGTGGGATAGCCTTTCTTTCGGCAGCTCCGCGTGACCTCACGTCATGTGGATCTGCGACGTGACGTATTCAACGTCACAGACTTCACAGATGTGACTTACACACCACACACGGGGTCACAGTGCGACGTCCATTGGGGCTGACTAACTTCCAACTGTCTAAACACGCAAACAACACAGCTGCTGATACACTGCACAAAAGACAGTTTTGGAGACACAGTCTGAGCGTGTTTCTGTTTTGTATGACGGTCATTGACTCTACAAAAACTGCCTGCAAACATGTTCGAAGCGTACGTATCTGTGCAGTGCAAACATAAGTCGATACATGCTTGATGCGTGTTCGAACTTCACAGATAACTCTGTCATCATGCGTCAGCGACAGGCATCGTGATGCACGAGCAGTGTCACTGGCACAGGGCCGAACCGTCTCGCGAAATACAAAAAGAAAAGGGGGTAATTCATCTTCCGACACCTAGCTGTTTGGCGCTGCCAGCATCCCTTGAGGGGCTTTACTTTCGGTTAGAGTAACTGTAGAGCCACTAAATTAGCTGCGCTTATATCGGCACTCTGTTCCCCGACATTGTTGTGGGCGCCGCCATTTTGGTGTTTGTGTAGAGCAGACGCAACTGCCGATCGTCATGATTAAAAAGTGCGACTTCCTCAACATCAGATTCGGTGTTAGGAAGCTTGTGTTAGGAAGCTTATGTAATATTGCTTTGCCTATCGCAGGAAGCTTATGTAATATTGCCTATCGCAAACTGCGTAAACATTTTTATTAAGCGGAAAAGTGTTTCCTGTAATTTCAGATAAAGCTTCATAACTGGCACCCATGATCTTAAGCCACAATATGGGCAAGTGTCGTTACTCTGAAGCGTAGCTTATATAGTGGCACTAAGTAACTGTATAGGCCTTTTAAAAAAATTGCTCCTGCAGGTTCCATCTTCAGTGTTCTTGCGTACGAGGCGCGATTCGCTCGCTTTTCGAAGCGGCGAACATGCGCGTGCTGGGCTGAGGCGATCGCACGCTGAGCTGAGGACTTGCAGATATTGCAGTGGTGCATAGGTTCTGCTTTCAGAACCAGAGTATCGCGTTCCTTTTCATTGCGCCTCCAACTTAGTTTCGGCGGAGAAGCGGTCACGTGCGCCGAGGTTTATCAAAACTTCATAAAAGAAAGCGACCTTGCAGGCACCGAGTTTCGGGCGGAGCACGCTTCTCCTTTTGCGTTAACGAAATATACATCTTACACTAAAATTGACCGAACTAGAAGGGGCCTCGACCATTAGACACTATGTCTAGTCACTGGGTACAGTGTAGTCGCGTTGTTTTTTAATGCGAGAAATGTTTTAAAACATGTTTCCTAAGCCCGGAAAGCAGACGACACGGAGGACAATCGTGTTGCCCGTGCCTGCCGTGCTCGCGGAGTTATGCGCCACCAGCACATCCGGGCACCTTGGACCAGACAACAACGCGCTGCTACGGCTTGCCGAGGGACGACGTTTTCGTCGGCTACTAGTACGTTCTACCGTGGGCATAGATAAAAACAAGAAACGAATGATGGGACGACGCACAGCAACATTCCGCCTCACAGCCACACAACGCCATCCGCGCCTCCAGTTCTCCTGCAGAAGCGACGGTCGCTTCCCGGCCGCACTGCGGCTTGGATCCAACATGGCCGTCCTGGAAGCACCACTGCGATACTTTTCTCCGCAAGCGGAGCATACAGTTACTCTATCCTTCAACAGAGCCCTGCCCTCCACTTCTCCTTTCTTTTACGGCGACCGGGCGCGGAAGGCGCAGCACTGACCCGAGTCCTTGACAGGCTGCAGCTGGCTGAGCAGGGCGATGGGCAGCATAAGCAGAAGCGAGGCCACCCAGACGGCGCCGATGGTCCGCTGGGCGTGGCGGAGGGTCTGCCAGGTCCGGGACCGGAGTGGGTAGCAGATGGCGAAGTACCGCTCCACGGACATGGCCATCAGGGTCCAGGCGGACACGCAGACGGACACGGCTGCGGCAAAGGAAAGCAGAGCGTCCTCTCTTGTCCTATAATAGCTGCTATAGGGTGATTTCAGATAAGATCGACCAAAGGGTGGCTGGTCGACATTTTTAAATCAACTGATGTTTTTATATGACATTGTCTAGTGTCTGGTATAAACGAATCCACACTTAGTTTTGACCAGAAAAAAAATTTGGAGACAAGAAAAATCGTAAGGCAAGGAGAGGTGGACAGTTGCAATAACGCGCACTGATGGAGGGGGCAAGTTTGAAAGTGAATAATTAAAACAATAAAATTAGGAGAATTTTAAAACTTTTTACAAACAAACTATGGGTACAACTTGCTTGTAATACAAAGTAATAATATTTATTAAAAATTTATTTAGTTTTCTAAAAATTGCCAAACATGCCTGCTCGAACGACAAATGGCAAACTTTGGAAATCTGTATCTCATGAAATAATTTAATCATTATTACATAACTTGCAGACATTATTTTACTAATATATGGCTATTGTTGAAAAAATAAATAAGGTATCTGAGTGACACAATAGTTACAATATATTTAGGAAAACATGGGAAAAAATCAAACAAAGAAATATTCCAATGCGAATAAAAAAAAACACCACCTTCGATTTTTTTAAAAATTTGGGTACCCTGTTATACTCTATTTTGGCATTCATTTCTATTAAAAACATGTTGCATCATTGCACTGTGAAAGAAGAAACAACTCCTCAAAGTAGGGTCCTTTTTCAAAGCCTACACTTAGCAGTGTCCTATACATGAAGTGACTCTGAGTTCCAGTTTCATGAAACTTGCACAAATCTTTTATATACATTTATTCAGAAGAGGTCATTGATAAAAAGAGCGATCGGTCACACAGTAAAAAAGAGGAGAAACTATATACAGCATTTTACATAAGCGTACAAAGTGGTATCATATTAGAGACTAATGATTTGAGAAAAGATGATGCAGTGTGAAGTTGTACCTTCCGGTATATTTTACATCTAGAGTAAAATAATTAACTTTACTTCCACACACAAAAACAAAGATATAATAGTAAGATATTTAGGTTGGCTGTGTATTTACGATTACAAACAAATTCAGGTGACGGATGCCATAGTGCCTAACTGGAGCAGCTTCGATGCTCTCGGTGTATGAATGAATCGTGGCAAGCCGATATATTTTATCCTGCTCGAGGATAACATTTTGGGATTTTTTTTATAGTGATCAGATAAAAATTATTAGTAACCACCAACAAAAACAGTAGGTTAAATACCCCGTGAAGAAAAATGTGATAAATAAGATGTCCCTGCATTCAAAATGAGCAGTCCTTGGGAAATCAAATTCGGCACTTTACGCTAAGGTTTTCCTCGCTGTACCCATTTAATCAAGTTGCTTCCAAGCAGATCCGACTGTCCGTGCTACATATACGTCACAGGTCCCTTCTGTTGATGACTTGCTGAGCCGCCACGCGTGCCAAGACTGAATGCCAGGGAAGGCGCGCACCGTCAGCCACTCTTCTTTTTTTTTTTGTTCACGATACCGAACAACCTCATTTTCGTCCAGATATACAAGATGCACGCCTTTCAGTTTCTTTGATAGAACACTCACCATTGTCCTGGCCGTCTGAATTGCGCTTACTGAACGTTCTCTCAGGTTGTTCAGCGTGGCCTGGTACTTCACGAGTCCGCCAACTCCGTCACATGCATTTTTCCCATATCCAGATGCAGAAAATAACCACTGGGCTTGTGGGCAATCGTCCTTTGCAAATTGGTGAAGCTGGTAGCGATTCTTGAAATGACTGGCGGCGCCGTCACTTACGTACGTCGCGTACGACTATACCGCAACGTTGTCTTCAACCCACTCCTTCACTTTTTCTAGAGCCAAGCAAGCGTGAGCGGCGTCGTGACACAGGTCCTCACTGATGATGGCAAAGCTGTTTGTAGATTTTCTTGTCGTCACTACACATGTAAATATCGAAACTTGTTTTTTTTCCAGTGATATGCTTGCACTTCGTCAGGAAGCACGATGGTCCAGTTTTCAGCGAAGTCAAAATGAAAGACAATGCTCCCGCGTTGCATGCACTGTTTTTCATCGAGATCGCTTTACCTTGCGTTTGCCGGATATGGTTGTGAAGTACCCAACTTCCAACCGTCACTTGGATGACTTTTAGGAAAGTCTCAGGTTCCAAAGTTTTTTTCACAAGGTCGCCGGACTCCCATGTTGCAAGCACAAGCTCTTCATCCTCCGGGATATCAAGTTCCTGGAGTGTAAGAAACTGGCCTTTTGGGCAGTGATCACAGTCTCCTTGAAGGCACAGTTCTGTTGCTGGGTCGCACAGAAATGCCGAGTTCATTTCACGAGTGTTGAATGTTGAGCCTGTAACGTTCTCTAGAGCGGCAATACAAAGATAATAATTGGCGCAGCGCACACAAACGCACACTTCCCGGTGTGGAATACATTGGACCCATCTAGGGCGCAACGAATAAAATTTCGTTAGCCCAACGCCGGAATCGGGATGCTTGTCTTTTGTATATACGGAAGGCCTCTCGTATTGAGCGTGTCATGAAGCGCTTTGGCACGAACGTTTTCTCTCCGTTGAGCATGACAGAGATGACGTCCTTCTGGTTGGGACTTTGGCGCGAACATTGTAGCTCGTCTTTCGTGAAGTACTCTGGGGCAGCAGACAGGTTCTCAGGGCTCACCTTGCACCTCGTGTAAGGATCCGGCTCATAACACACGCCATGCTTTTCCTTGAGTTTTCGGGATTTACTGATGAGGTACATTGAGGCCTGTGGAATCATCTTTTGAACCTCATTCTTCGTCAGTGTTGACGGCAGGAGTGTAAGCAGTTGACAACGTTCCCGGAGAGAGGTGGCGGTTTCAAAGGCCTGCCGAAAGTTGTCCACCCACTCAGTGCGTGTGGAGCATGTTGGTTCGGACGAAACCGATGGTGCGTCCCTGTCGTACGCAATACGTAGCCTTGAGCGTATATTCTTGACAGCAACCTGCTCCAGTTCTGTCTGCTTTCTCTTGACATAGGCAGGCCTGTCCCGACTTCTTACGACGCTTGGTTGTCTCAGCGGCGACACATCTGTAGGTAGTATGCTGCGATTTAGATCTTCAATTGCTTCTTCAGCTGGCACAAATATGTCAGGGCACTGCTCTGAGCTTCGCATCAAGATCTCCTTAGTGATGTGCATGAAGCAATGGTAGCACAGGTAGTCCGTCGCACTCACTTTGGTGGAACAGTCAGGCGGAAGAATTTGCTTCAACGAGTTTAGGTCCAACTCGCCAACACTTCGAAAATTCCGCTGCTTTGGTATAGTCTTTTTGTGTTTGCAAAAGTAATCTGCACAAAACACTCATTCGGAGCTCCAGGTCGTCTTCATAATGTATACATAAATAATAGAAATTAAACCCCAACTGATGGCATATAATTGCCAAGTGAAAGAACTACTGGGTGCACAAGTGACAAGTCCGAGGCTGAGAAGCTCACTCACTGCAAACGTACATTTGAAAAGAGAGGTCACAACTGAGGCTGTCGGCAAAGCTTGATCCACGTCAAAGGAAGAAAGAGGGAAAGTCTCCAGACAAAAAATTCTGGTCAGCGGCCTTCGAAAAAGACTTTCCGGAATCGCACTGTCGTCCCTCCACGCGCTGATATGAAAGCACCCGAGCTTCTACCACGTGGTTCATGACACAGCCTGAGCCATGTCGGCGACCGGTTCGCAAGGGGTTGGCGGTGGGGTTACGTTGATGGTCACTCGGATTAGCCCTTGCTGTACTGAGCTACCGCCTGCAGTGCCTTATCGCCGGCTGGTGTCAACAACGAGAACACACACACCCTGTCTACACCAAAACTACAAGCGTTCACCGCACACGCGTCGCCGCCGCTTTTAAGCTTTTGTGAAATTGCTTTCTTTCGCCGCGGAGAACCGCCTTATCTTAACTACGCGCCTGAAATCCTTCCAGGCGGGCGTACACAATATCAAGCGTTTCGAGAAATGCCCGTAGAGTAGAACTATGGGAAAATTCGGAGCCCGCGATGTCGATATCGTCGCCGTTGTGTTAGTACGCCGTCGCGTACTGCAGTCCCCCGTTGGGGGAGGGGGGGGGGGCGGTCTTACTACGGTAACATGGCGACAGCGTTTACACTCTATGTATTTACGCGAGGCTCGAGTATTTGGGGATAATGCTGCCGGTTGGTGTGCCCCTTTGTGCCTGATATTATCGCCCGTGACGCCAGCGAGTGAGATGGCGACAGGCATGACTGCTCAGTAAACAGGCGTCGGCGGCCATGTTTTGCTGGTTGAAGCGAACCCCCTTGTCCTTGACAGCGAGCGGGGAAATGCGAAAAAAAGATTGTATCGGCCGTTTTGCCAGAACTAGCGACGAATGTCGTCTGCGGTTTCCGGCAACTATTTTGCCATAATCGTGAGCTTAGCGAGGAAATGATTTTTGCTAGCCACAGAACACTGCCACGCAGAAAGGGAATGCTTGAACATGTTTTTGTTCTGGATATATATCAGGGATATATATGAGAGAGAGAGAGAGAGATGAAGGTAGAGCGGAAGAGGGAATAGCATATAGTGTCGCAGGAGAATAAAGTAAACAAAGTTCCTAGTGGCCGATGGCTGCATGATCTTTTCTCGGATCACTAGTCCGTAATATGATACCTCTTTGTACACAGTAGTTTCTCCTTAATTTAAGTGCGTGAACGATTTCTTTAGTTATCATTGGCCTCATCTGAATAAAAATATATAAAAGATGTGTGTTGGTTTCATGAAACTGGAACTCAGAGTCAGTTCTTGTATAAAACACTGCTAAGTGTAGGCTTTGAAAAAGGACCCTACTTTGGGGAGTTGTATCTTCTTTCTCAATAAAATGATGCAACATGTTTTTAATGGAAATGAATGCCGAAATAGAGTATAACAGGTTACCTAAATTTTAAAAAAATCGAGGGTGGTGTTTTTTTTTATTCGCATCGGAATTTTTCTTTGTTTGATTTT